AATCGCAGCCTAGTCGAGGTTTTAGACATTTAGGTTTTGGCTGATCATATTCATATACTTGAGCTAACACAGTTTCCAGGTGATTTTGGCTAACGTAGCATTCTGAAAAGGTCAGATTTTAACCTACTGCAATTGAAGCTGAATTCTTGTGTATTTTTTTTTTTTTTAATTCTAATTCTTGTATAAAATGTGACACCTTTTTAGCATTTGTGGTAAGATTGGCGTCAATTTGGACCTTTTATTTTCAGCTGATGTAATTTTTCCCACATCGTGTTGTCAAAAATTACAACATTTTCACATGAGTAATAAAAAATGCCAACATAAATTAGCAATATTTTGTCCATTGCAAATGGAGCTAGAAAAGTCATTGTTGACAATTCTCCTGACATAATGCTAATAATAGACTAGATTAAAATGACTCAATTAAATTCTAGTGCTTCTTTTATTAGTGAAGTTTGTAGAAAAAAAAATATATCAAACGACGCAATGCACTTTGAGTCGCTACGGAAACATTCTCTTTGTATAATTACAAAGGTAAAGTCAGCGTACAACTGACTCTTTGTATAATTACAAGAATAAAGTCTGCATACAACTGGCTCCCCAGACCCCAACCAGTTGAGAATATATATGTTGTTGTATAAATTAGCAATATATATATATATATATATATATATATATATACACATGCACAGAATGTCCAAAACAGAAGAATGAGACCAAAGAAATCCTGAAATTTACCAATTGAGCCTGAGAAAAGAATTCTTTAACACATCATTTTTTTTAAAAAAAATAAACTTGATTTTACTTGTATAACAAAATTATATTTCACTTTATTTATCAAATAAATCGTATCTAATTCAGATCATGCGATTTATGAAGGCACACAAACATAATAAGATCATACTGGTTGGTATATCACAAGGCACTGCTTTCTTGGTTAGGCTGCAGTTTTGATCACACACTGTTAGCATTCCCCACCAAAGCAAAATAAACAGTTACTCAGACAAAGTAATGCTGATACAACTCAAGAAAATATTATTTGATTTTTCTTAACGACAAGAACAATTAAAAAGTCTTGACAGGAAGTTTGATAGCGTTCGCCTTTTTTATCCTTTCCCCATACAATCACTCGATCACCTGAACCCACGAAAATTACGAAACCGTTTCTCATTATTCACCTTGTAGTAAATACTGTATTTTGTTACTTGAAAAATATAACTGAAATTAATACGGAAAAAAAAGGTACCTATATACGATACGAAGAACGAGGGATAAGGTTTTTAGCTGCCCTGGAGGACCCTTTGGGGATCGAGCTGCCCACTGCAATAACTGGAAGGCACTGCAGAAAGTTCTTGCCTTCCTTTCCACTCTTCACCGGGCTTCAAAGTGATTGGTTTTTCAATAGCAGCTGCCTCGATGCATAACATATGTTTATACTCTTCATCCCCAAAGTCGGCCAGTGCTTTCGACTTCTTATCCCAGGGATTCCACAAGACTTGTGAGCATAAAATGAAGAAAAAAAAAGTTGTTACGGAATATTGCATCCTTGAAGTAGATATTAGAATTTGGAACACCAACGACCAAAAACCGATAAAATCTTTACCAGCATCAGGGAGACCGTCTTTACGAATGACAAATGTTCGTTTCTTTTCGTGGTCCAGAATTGCTATCTTTGTAGGTGTGCTAAGATATATCTTGTCCACCTGATAGAATATCAGTTAATATAGAGAAGAGAACATAACAGAAGAGAATAGATCTTATGGGCTTACTTCGGATTCAAAAGTGATAGCATCCCCTTGTTCGGTAAACCGCTGCTTGCCCTGCAGATTATCAAGATAATCCAAAGTCTCCAATCCTTCAACACGCACTTCACTGCACAAAGAAAAGTATCATTAGGATACAGTGAGCAAGTTGATGGAGAGGTCTATCCAATACCAGCAAAATCCTACTTTTGAGTTATTGACCAATGAAGGAAGATCTTTTAAATAAAAATAGGTCAGTTAGAGTTAGTGATATTAAAACAGCAAATTGTCGTACCATGGGAGGAAAACAATGACATTATCTGTATCAAAAATCTTGATTATGGAATTCTGAGGGGAAAAAATGGTCCTCCAATTTAGAACACAGTTGATAGAGCTCTGGTGGATAACAGATTAAACACAAGCATATGAAAGGTCGACAGTTAATTAAACGAACTCAATTTTTCAGTTAATTCGTAACAGAAAGATATTTAATCCGATTCTAACACTGCATGACAATATTAACAGTTTATTAGTTATATATTTGGCAATTTCCATATAATAAAAACAAGTTCAGCAATAAGATAAATTTACTCAACAGCCATCTGCTAATGGTGGTGAACAAAAGTTTCACACTATAAATGCATATGGAAACCACAGAGCTCTTACTTACAATTTAACATGAAGATATTATACATGCTGAGTAAACATTAAAGGGTGCTTTCTCAAAATACTACTAAGTGCCAAAAACGAATAAATCCATCAGACACCAATACAAAAGAGACCAACACAAGCAATATCTTTTGACATAAGCACCTATAGATAGCAGAAATTTGATTAAAACATAGTTCAAGAGACTCGCCATCAACAAGACTAGTTCAAGAGATTCCCAATACTTCACCACATGTAACTAATAAGAGTTAACTAAATTCCACATAGTTCACTGTGGTAATTATAGCAACTTAATTGTGAGTCAGGCAAGTGAGGTGTGAGTACTGGACAAGCACAATGAAGGCAGAAGATCAGCTCACAATCAGATCATCACCAATACACAAGCCAGTAACACAAATCTTTCAAATACCTGATATCAGAAACAGAAAAGTATGTATGATACGCAAAGGTGAAACTAAAAGGCTTTCCATCAGTGTTAGTGTTTCTGATACGCGAAGTCAACATCAGATCTCCAGAAGGTCCCAAAGTTACTCGGAGTCGGAACTCAAAGCTGAACAAGAACCAAAGATAAAAATTAAAAGCACATGTTCAACAGTATGTTCTCCACCCTTTCAAAATCCTGAATATTTGTACCTATGAGGCCAGATCTTCATATCCTCTTCAGTAGGCTTCAGAATTAAGTCCACATAAGTCTTATTGGGGGAAGTGGTCGGAAAAGGAGGCGGAGAAGGGTCAATGGACCAGACCCTGTTTCTAGCAAATCCATGAGCCTCGAGAGGTCCAAGACTCCCAAACTGTAAATATAGAGCAGAACTTCCTTTAATTCAGAAAAAGGGTGGAAAATGTGGAAAGAACTAAACAAACAACATATACCTGTGGGAAACAAATAGGTATGCCTCCACGGATTGCCTTTGGAGGTTTGAAAATGGCCTGAAAATAATGAGAAGAAAAATCAGCCAAGCAATTCAAGTAGAAATCATCGAAAAAGCACTGGTCACAGATAAGAGTAGCCAATCTTTTTCAACGAAGTGTTTGAAACGTAAGAGAAAGAGAGCTGCAAATTTCTGGTTTACCAATAGAAGAACAAATAAAAGGAAGCACCAAGTAAGGAAGAGATAGAGTGAACAGAGCTGTACATATAGCAGGCATACACAATAAAAAGAAAATTGATCATCATGGCTGGTAATCCTATAACCTATGCACTAGAAAGAGCTATACAAGGTTAATCTAACTCTGTCCACTTATACTGGAGTTAACGTCTAAAAATTAACAAGTATTCAGTCGAATGAGTCTTAATGAAAAAAAAACCCGAAGAAGATAACCTTCTGCTTTCAAACCAACAATCTCATTTACGCCATAAAAAATACAAAATCCAGCTCAGCACCAGACTAGAAAATATTAAAATAGGCTAATTTCAAGCAGTAACTCTTTTCTTCACTTATAGTATCCTAAGAAAAATAATTAGATTGAATCTCAACCGGAACAAGTCGATCATCTTAAATTCAAATCTACTTCTGGATATGCAACTTATGAGATGTGATATTTCCAGGGAAAAGGCTTTGCCCAGATGCTGAACATTTGAACATGGTAACAAGTAGAGGTGCTATATTACTAAGTATTAAGTTCCCAACAGCAACAACCAACTTGATAAGAATAAACAGATACGCGCGCCATTTATAGACACCAGCAATTGGTAGGCAGATCACATCCAAAATAAAGAAAAAGAAGTATTAGAAAAAACATATCATCCACTAGTCGTATCAATGAATTACTGAATCTGAAGTTGCCAAAAAACTATAAACCCTTAAGTTTAACATATTGCATAGGTAAATCATCTCCAGGTCACTAAAGCATTTCCAGGTCACAGCACTGTACCTTACAGCCTTTAATTTGGAAAAGTATTAGCACATATATTATTTTGGCAGTGAATATAGGTACATAAGTTTATGATGAGCATAAAATTCCATCTAGATTTCAAGCACACAATTCTCTCATCTGAATCTCTGTTGAGTTGACAACTAAAATCAAATGTCAACCAAATACTGTAGACATATAACAACTCATAGTTTGACAAAGCACGTCACATGATCGGCGCGCATAACAAGACTACATAACAACAGAGAGTGATGATGAAGTAAAAACACATTAAATTCAGTTTACAAGCCTTCATTTCTAAACTAAATCAATATCAATATCTTTAATAATTAGCACAATCCTAATAAGAAAAAACTGAAACAAACCGTTCCAAGGTGCAACCAGAAAATAATGTAACAAATGGCTACCAAATCATAGACAATACCTTCCCGCTCACAAAAAGCAGCTCCTCCCTATGTTCATTCTTCCATGATGTTACTTGAGCCCCATAAAGATAGATCTATAAAAGTGCGGATGTCAAGAGCAGGAAGAATGAAGATATAACAAAGAAACATTTAGTTAAACACCGTCCTCCAAAAACGCAACTCTTCTTCTCAAATACGAAGATCAAAATCTATGAGATGCTTCCAATTCTTCAAGATAAACAACAAGTACGACATATCCATATCTATTTCTACAGAGTTAAGCAAAATCATATTCTGTGCTGAACAATCAGAGCAAATACAGATTCATATCGACCAACAGCTAGAAGCGACTAAAACTGGATAAAAAATGCATTTCATTCAACATTACGCCCAAAAATCCCAACCACATCACACATTTTTTTATCGAATAACAGCATCGTACAAGCATTAAAAGCACCCTGTAAAACACGGTTCTGCTGCGTTCGTCCATATTCCAAACAATCAATCATCTCATTAGACTAGAAAAGTACAGATCAGACGACATCAAATCAATTACAGATCAATCCATTACAAATATCACCTCTCGAAAACATCAAGACTGAAAGCATAAACGAAATCGATAGAAAACGCCAAAGCGAGCGATTGAGAAAATAAAAAAGGTACCTCGACCGAGTTACCACGGATGTCGCGGAGGATAATCTTCTCCAGTCCGTTGATTCCCTTGCTAATCTCGTACGGCGGCCTTTTTTTCTCCGCCGCGGCCGTCGTCTCCACAGCTGCGCTAGCCGACGACATGTGATGACGTCAGAGACTCAGAAATCGACTCCGAGAAAATGGAAATTCACAGTGGGTGTGTGTGTGTGTCTGGCAGTTTTTGTGTGTATTTATCCATCAATTTTCTGCCGGAAGCTTATAAAATGAACAGAATATATAACCGCACGCAATTTATTATTATTATTATTATTATTATTATTATTATTATTTGTAACAATTAAAGTTAGGTGAATAGATTAGTTTACCAAAATATATTAATGCCGAAAAATGTAATTCTTTAAATTGTATGAATAGATTACCAAAAAATATTAATGCCGAAATATATAGTTTAGAATGTCAAATTTTTTAAAATATAATTCTTAAATCAATTAAAATTAGAAAATTAATCAAATGAATTGTTTGATATATAGACTACGAATTTTAAGTCTGATGTGTTTTACATATTGAACAACATAAAAATTAAATTACTTATATGCACTTTCTCTATGATGTGCATGCAGTTGCACATCTATCCGGCTCTCCACGATCCTTTGCCTGATTTGTCTCCGGAGAAGACTTGAAAAGATGTCGGGAGATGTTCCCGACGTTAAACCTCCTTAGGCCAAAAATTAGGATACATTCTGGGAAAATCAAACTTCCACCGAAGAGAAGCAAATGAATGAAAGGCTTTCATAAAAATTCTCGTAGAATCGAGAATGAAGTTTTCATTCTGTCCATGCCAGATCATGAATTAGTAACTGCATCCAATTTCCAAAAAAAATCCCAATTGTGTTGTCAGATGAAAGGAAGTCAGATGTCGCCCTCGGCCACTCACTATGCTTTTTCTTATCAGGATCCCGATTCATGGATCTCTCGGTTCGGACAATCAAGTCAGTAAGGTGATATCAAAAGCTCTATGATAATATATATTGAAAGATTAGAAAGTATAAATGTGATTAACCTTTACTCTCTCCAAATTTTACCTATTTATATAGTATTATTGGCTTCTTCAGCAAGCTTTGCAGTTTGCTCTGCCGCGAAGGCCTGCCCGATTGCCCAGTTTACCCAAGGGGCTGCCCATGGGTTATTTGGCTACTTGTATAGTTGTATGTCTGCTCGTCGGTTATTTGGCTCAATTCTTATCCGTCGGATCATCCACTACTTCTGTTTATGACCCTAGATGTGTCTGGTTAACAGCCTAAACTCGACCTACTAAGTCTATCCATCTATAATAAATCTGAGTTATTTACCCGTTACTATGTTCAAGATATCATATGTCCGAGCTACTTACCAACCATACTGTCCGAGCTGCCTTATGCCCGAACTATCAACAATCATAAGCTTGTCTGAGCTACAGGCACACTTAAGTTGTTCGAGCTCCATCATGTCCGAACTACCAACAATCATAAGCTTGTCCAAGCTACACGCACACCTAAGTTTGTCTGAACTATCAACAGTTATTAGCTTGTTTGAGCTCCTGCATGTATGTCCGAGCGAGATATAGGCACACCTAAATTTTTTATCTTGTACGTGCTAGCTCCAACTATCCAAGCTACATAAGCCTTCATACCTTTAGGCTAGCTGACCGAACTAGTCTGGAGCTCATAGACAGGCTAGTTGCGGCCGATTTACCCGAGCTACACTATATGCCATATCACTCTATTCCATAAAATAGTCGTCCAATATGAAGACCGTTTTATTTGTTTGCCCATAAATCAAACTCACTAAATACATTTTTCACAACTTTCATCACAAATAACTTATATAGTTCAAACTATTGTTATATTTCATAATTTTATCTATTAAATCAACTTTAATCATTATATTATTTTTTTCTTACTTACAAGTTACGTCCGCAATATCTTTTGTTTACTTGAAAATAAAGATTCCACATATTCTACTACAAAAACACAACTTCAAATTGAAATTATCTGCACAATCTTGTACGTCCACGTGTCAACCAAGATGGAGTCAACAGTGATCCACCTTCAAGGTACCCTGATATTGACTGTGATGGGATTTTATTTTCAGGTTACCAGTTTACCACCATTTAGCAAAAATGGCTTCTTCATTTGCATTTAAACTTAACTGCAGTCACTGAGTTTTTACAGTTAAATCATCGTCAGAACCGATAGTTAACTATCAATGCTAATAACATCGAGTAGACGATTAAAGATCGCGTTATTAACACGAAAACATCAATGCACACGATTTAAAAAAAGCCTGTTGTTACAAAGGAGATGCCATTGTTTTCATATACATAAGAGCCAAGAATTAGACGAGCAAACTGAACAAACTCAGGGAAATTCTTGTTAGGATCAGTTTTTGTCTAAATGGCACTCTTTATGCTCTCTAAATCATCCTTTTCTCACTTCATGGTGAAAAAAAAAAAAAAGATTTACTCTGCTTCTTCAGACAGTATAGTGCTGCTGGATGGTCTCAATATCGAGCCCCTTCAGCTTCACAACCGACTCAACGTGTCCCTTGAGTGTATGCAGCTCACGAAGCCTGTCAGTCGACAAATTAAGCATAATTCTTACTAGTGATTGTAATAAAATTCATTCAAGTTGTAAAGAAAGTTTAGTTAGTTACCTTGCAATCTCAGCTCTCCTCTTGGCTTGTTCGGCTATTTCGGACAATTCACGGTAACTACTCTTCTCGTTGAAGAGATTCGTATCTTGCGGGGTTTGCAGGCCGTGCAAAGTCCGTTGAGCAAGAGCCCATTGGGCTTCCCTCTCCTCTTTCCCGTAATCTTTCTTGGTTGTGAAAGCAGTCTTGAATCGGCCAANNNNAAAAAAAAAAAAAAAAAAAATCACAGATGGAAACAGAAATTAAGTTGGGTAAAAAAGTAGTAGTTTACGGCTATGTTTTGTAAACGTAGCTGATAAACTAAGTTATAGCTTTGAGTGAATTTTGAACTTATAGTTAATAGCTTGTGACCTATAGTTGAAAAATTAGCTTATATGATAAATGTGTTTGGTAAAATTAGCTCATAAGACACCTGAAATAAAAAAATTCAATGGGTTTATTTGAAAAGCTACCCAAGAAAGAAAACTTATGAGATAAGCTCGAGCATTATAAAAAGCTCGGCCTTGGTCCTACATAAAACCTAAGCACTCGTTCTTTTTTCTTCGAAAATGCATGTGCACGCACCTTATTGTCGTACAAGTTCTGCCACGCCTTCCCACTCAAGATGTAACGAATAGCGAATTTCATTAAATCGAGCGGTACATAAAATACGAGACTGTAAATCCAGATAACGCCGGCCCATCCCCAGCCACAGCCTTTAATCCTCGCGAAACCCCAGTTAGCGTACACGGCTATGAGAGTCGCAACCTAGAAAACCCAAATGCATAAATAGGTAGATTTGTTTTTCCGAATTTTAAGATTTTTATATCGAGTTTTTTTTTTTTTTGTTTTTGTTTTTTTTTTCTATTCTTACCAGTTGTGCAATTACGAAAGCAGTCACTAACAAAAGCCCGGGTCTCTCAACAAACGACCAGCTTCGTGACCTGGTCACGAAGATGAGGGCTTGGCTAACGATACTCACTTGCAAGTATAGAGCGGCCATCATCTCATCCTCGCTGTTTCTAATGTTTTTTACGCCAAATTTGTCCTGCATTTTTATGCCATGAAATTAAACGAAATTTTTTTAACTTTATTGCATCTCGATACACAATTTAGGATAAAGAAAAAAGATTATCTTACATGGAAAAAGTCGGTTTTATGCATGAGCCAGAAGAATATAACCGTCATCAAGGCAAGATATCCTCCGAGAACAATGCCGGTGGCAAAGATCTCTTTGAGTTTCCAGCTGTCAGGAAGAGGAGATGGCTTCACTCTATCCTTTGAGATGGTCATAATAGTACCTAAACACACCAAAGTTCATTTGTATTAACAGATAACTGTCTAGTTACTAGATAAATATTTCTTTGTAATTTGGTCTTTAGATAAGTGAAGTGTTTTCGCATTAATTTACTAAAGTAATTACGGTAATATCCACGTGTAGTGAGTGTATCCAACCATAACAGACAATTAGAGAACAATAAGACAATAACAGAGGAAGAAGAGAGAATAAATATACCATCGTTCAAAATGGCAATGATCAAAACCATGAACGGCGAGAAGTCGAACTTCCAAATCAGAGCAATGAACATGAACCCAAACTGCAAAAGACGAGGAAAATGACATGAGAAAACTCGAAAAGGATTATATATATGTGCGTTCAACCGTCACAATCTAACTTACCACTATACGGATGGTGATAGAAACCGCATAAATCTGCAAAAACAGAATACACAAAAACAAGATTTCATTAAAAAGAAAAGAAAAAAAGCCTGAAGAACAAAATTTTAAAACGATAATAACCGAGAGAAATAGTCTAGTGATCGCGTGACTTAACAAAAAAAACCTGACTTTTGGTCCCTGACCGGTTGCTGACGTGGATATTATTTTTCATTTTTTTTCGACACGTGGCAACCGACTAACACATGCAACTCAGCAGCCGATCAAATTGATAACCATGTGTTGCAGTTATAGGCAACGCAACCATCGAACTATTTCTCAATTTGAAATATCCAAAATTTTCCATTAACTAACCGTGTAATTCTTCATCCTCTGGAAAATGGCTCGGCTGGTCAACACCGCACTAATAATAACACTAAGACCCGGCTCGGTCAACACAATATCCGAAGCACCTCTCGCGGCATCCGTAGCATCGGCCACCGCAATTCCAATGTCGGCTTTCTTTAAAGCCGGGGCATCGTTCACACCATCGCCCGTCATCCCAACAATATGCTTCCTTTCTTGCAACTTCTTCACGATTTCATATTTGTGTTCTGCACGAAAAAGAAGAAACTAAAAGTTAAACCTGAACTTTTGCTCCGAAAAATAAAATAGACGAATAGGGATTGACATTGACCTGGAAAAACCCCGGCAAAACCATCGGCCTTCTCGATTAATTCCTCAACAGGAAGGCTAGCTATTGCCTCATCCTTGTGTTGACCGAGAAGTGATGCGGACGGGTACATGTTGACTCCCATGCCGAGCCTACGCCCAGTCTCCTTGGCAATAGCAAGTTGATCACCTAAGAATTTTGCCGAAAGGTGAAAAAATGAAGAGTGCAAAAAAAACCAAGGGAAACGAAAAACGAAGTTTTTGTTTTAAGGAGTATTATTAGCTTTTACCAGTAATCATTTTCACATTTACACCAAGATTCAGAGCCCTTCGGATAGTTTCAGCACTGTCGTGCCTCGGAGGATCGAAAAGGGATAAAAGCCCGACAAATTTCCACGGGGCACCGGGAGCATCTTTCGATTTCTCTGGCAATTCCTGAAAATATATAAAAAAAAAAAAAGAAAAATTTCTGAGTCGGACCAATTAGCATACAAACTCACAAAATAAACCAAATATTATTCTAACTTGATAAGCAACGGCCAATGACCGGAGTCCACGCTCGGCAAATTTATCGATGACACTGTGGACTTTCTTCTTCAAATCTTCCTTGCAGTTGCAGAGCGTCAAAATCTGTTTCGTAGCAAAGTGGAAAATAATCACATTTCATATTTTTAACTTATATTAAGAAAAACACACACAACGTACAGTTTGTAACACACAAACCTGCTCGGGAGCTCCCTTGCTAGCTCTATGCCAGTTCCCGTTGGAGTCGATGTAAGTCAAAGCTGTCCTCTTATCGACCGGGTTGAACGGGAAGAAGTGAACCTCTCTGATACCAGCTCTTGCCTAAACAACAAAAATAATGAGCAAACCATTTCATTCAAGGAAAATAAATAAATAAATCACCTCCCAAAGTAGAATAAAAATCTAATTATCAGATTCTGATCCGGATCAGTAGTCAAACAAACCAAATCGATTTTGCAAGCTTTCAAACTACACCTCCTGATCTCAAATATCTTTATTATTGAAAAAATTTAAATCCAAGCTTTTCTTACGTGCTGCGTGCATGTACTTTCCTCGTCAATCCATTTTCGATGACGAATCAATTTTTAGAAATCGATAAACGGACACACATTTTGTTCGTTTCGTCATGGGTTTCAAAAGCCTTAAATCAATCTTAAGGATGAATTCAAATTTCAAAACAATATATCACAACATACACACACCTCTTTGGGATCGGCAAGCGTCCCGACAATGGCTGCATCGATAGCATCCTGATTCTCGGTCCTCGAGGCCCTAGCGGCAAGCAACAAGACCTGTTCCGGATCCATCCCTTTCGCAAAAACCTCGATCAAACTCTTATCAACCGTGAGCTTGTTGAGCGTGAGAGTACCCGTCTTGTCGCTACACAACACGTCCATCCCGGCCATCTCCTCAATGGCCGTCATCCTCTTCGTGATGGCCCCTTGCTGGGACAGCCGGTGGGACCCGATGGCCATCGTGACCGAGAGCACGGTCGGCATCGCGATCGGAATCCCGCCGATCAATAGCACAAGCAAGTTGTCGATTCCCTTTCGGTACTCGCGGTGTTGGATCGGGTACATGACGATTATCTCGGTGACCATGCCGACGGCAATCGAGCAGATGCAGAAGTTGCCGATGGCAGTGAGGACTTTTTGGAAGTGGCCGACTTGGTTGGTGGAGTCGACGAGGTGGGCGGCCTTGCCGAAGAAGGTGTGGACGCCGGTGGCGATGACGACGGCCTCGATCTCGCCTTGCTTGCAAGTGGAGCCGGAGAAGACCTCGTCGTGGGGGTTCTTGGTGACGGGGAGGGACTCGCCGGTGAGGGCCGACTGGTCGACCTTGAGGGGGTCGCCCTCGAGAAGGCGGGCATCGGCCGGGATGATGTCGCCGAGCTTAATGCTGATGATGTCGCCGGGGACTAGGATCGATGCCTCCTGCTCGCTCCAACGCCCGTCTCGGAGGACCTGCGGCGATTCAACCGGATTAGACCATTTTTTACTATACGGTACTTAGAAAAGGTAATTATAGTTATATTTTTAAAATTATATATGAATAAAACTGATATTATTGACAACTCCATATATTTGATGCATTTTCTTTTTAAAAAAACAAAACAAGTTTTATATATTGTGATTATATTTTATATTTATAAAGTCAATGTCACAAGTGTATTAATTTTTCAAGTATTTTAAATTTGTATAATTTATAATTTAATTATAAATATATTATTTCTTAAATTTATGAAATACAAATTATTTTATTATATTTAATTATGATATTCTTTTATGTTTACTATTTTAAATAACACAATAACATTCATATTCTTATATAATCTATTTAAACTGAGAAATAATACTTTATAATATTTTTTAGATGTTATTTTATTTAATACTTAATTTATATTTTTTATCCATATATTAAAAAGAACAATAAAATGATTATTTTATGGTGTATTAATGAATTATATAAAACAACTTATATTATTATTTGATTTGTTTATAAATATAGATGAAATTATTTGTGATTTTATATATAAAATATGGATGTCAAATCGAAGATCGTCAAAATATAATTATTTTGGTAGATCATGTATAAAAAATAAAATACAAATAAAATAAATTATGAAGTTTTAAAAATAAAAAGAATACATATTTCTAATAATTAATATATGAATTAAATAAAATATGTAAGAATAGTATATGAAAACTTAAGCAAAAAAAGAAAGTTAAAATAGTTTATGGTAATTCTCAAGTCTAATAGACAAAACTAAACATAAACATGTGTCAAAACAAAGCACCAATTCATGTCAAATAAGCTTACAGAGCACACGAACCTGCCACTTAAGCTCAACACATTCAGATTTATATATAGGGGCGATTGAGATTAATCTACTTTAACACAATGTGTTGACACACAAAATGTGGATAGTGTAAGTTTAATAAGTGTTAGACTTTTAAATAGTGACGTGATGCGTAAAGTAACAGAATTGTTACATGTGTTGTTTTGACTAGTATATGTGGTTTTTAAAACGTGATGTGATGTGTAAAGTAACAGAATTATAACACATGTCGTTTTGACTAGTACATACGCCGGGGTTAATCTACTTTAAGAAAATATGTTGACACAAGAGATGATGACAAGTGTGATAGTGTAAGTTTAATAATTACTGATTTTTAAAAGTGATGTGATGTGTAAAGTAACAAGATTGTGAGACGTGTCCGAGCAATATATGTATTGGGATGAATCTTCTTTTAAGATAATATGTTGACAACCAGGGGATGACAAAATGTGAGTTTAGTTTAACAGTTGCTGATTTTTACCAACTAAGCTTGGTTATACTTAAATAACATAATACTTATCGAAATTTACCTTCGTTTTGGGAGCGAGGCCGGCCATTAGGGCGGCAGCTGCATTTCCGGCGTTGTTTTCCTCGATGAAACTTATGGTGGAGTTAATAACAAGCAAACAAACGATACCTACAAAATCCTGCCAGTCAGGAGGCTTGCCGCCACCATTGGCCAACACGATGGCCATCAAGGCGGCGGCCTCCATGACCCACGAGAGCGGGTTCCACATAAACCCTAGAAACTTGAGCAACTTGCTTTCCTACATTAACAAAAATAATAATAATATTAGTAAATACCCTTATCATTTTGTAAAAGATGAAATATAGCTACTTTTTGTATTGTGGAAGTACATAACCACTACCTTACTACCAAAAAAGGTTCATGGAGAATTTGGGACTCCAGAAATGCAGTCTTAATAGTGTAGAAGCTATTTCTGGATTTTCAAGGGTAATTGTGTCATTTTACATGACAAAATGGCTATATTTATTCGAAATAAGCTATATTTCATCTTGAAAAGTGAAAAAAGGGTAAAAAAAAGGCGAGACTGTAAAAAAAACATACATACATACATTATGAAATAAACCACTGTTAAAAAACATTCATTTTGATTTACGTTTCGTTTTGTCATACCTTTTTCTCTTCCAATTTGTTTGGACCGAAAATTTGAAGCCGGTTGGCACCCTCGTCGGAACTCAAACCCTCCCGGGTGCATTTCAGCTGCTCAAACACTTCCTCGATCGGAACTTTTTCCTGTTATTATTGTTGTTTATTTCAGGCAAGTTAGTTATATATATAAATACTTCAAGAGAAGGCAGTGAACCAAGAAGCACTTGTCTTAGCCAGTACAATTGGAGGCAACAGAAATAATAAACAGTAAAAGACCATTTTAATTTGTCTACTTTTATGGTCTCACTCATAACTATTATTAGCTACTATACAAAATATCAAAACTTGTCCTTTTTTTATCTTATATATTTCGATGATCTATATGTTGTTACTTCTGTTTAATTCGATATAATTATTAATTAATTCATTACCTTGAGTTGTTTTTATTCTGTCATACATTTATAAATAGTCTAATCCAGAAATTAGATCATTACACTATGTTTAATTTCTAAAAGTAATACTCTTGACTTTTGACTATTTTCTATGGCATTTTTTCAAAAACTATCTTCACTTTTATTAGTAAAAACTAAAAAGCATATTTTTTTGACCCGGACCAGCCCAACGGGTCGACCCGGAGTCAGAACCGGTTCGGTGGGCTACTTGGATCGTGCAACAAAGGCAACAACAGACCCAGTCAAACTCGGTCAAAACCCAGCCAACCTGGCCTTGACTCGGTGCATTGGCCCGGCCGGGTCAACTCGGTTGACCTGTCAGGGTCGGTAAACCGGGTTTAAAAACGACGGTAAACAGGAAAATCAAATTACACTATGTTTTCAGAAATCAAATGGACTAAGTGGTTATTAAAGATCTCAAAGTTGGGAAAATAGTATCATCTCAATCATAAAGAACTATAATAATATGGGAAATCCCACAATGATTATTGTAATTAATTTATTTTTAAATCAAAAAAAAATACTACCTCCTTTTTTAAATAAATGTTGTTTTGACTTTTTTGATTCATTCATTTTGCTATGTATCTAGACATTAGCAAAATGAATGAATCAAAAAAGTCAAAACGACATTTATTTAAAGAAGGCGGGAGTATATTTTTCACGTAACGGTCCCGGTAGACCATAATGTAATAACTAGACATATTTTTTTAAGTTGACTTTTTTGGAGGCGAGATGTGAGTGGGTGGGGCCCACCAATATAAGATAGATCGCTCAAATCGGTAAAATGATGGCGCGTCCTTTTTCACACCCCCCAATATCAACGGCGTCGCTTTCCGTGGGTCCCACGCGCCCAACAAGGACCCCCAAACAAACAGAAACAAATAGAAAAGGCAAGGGGAGGGGTAGTTTCGCTATATTTGAGAACTTTGAGGGCAGCTGCGCGAATAATTAATATTCGGAGATTGGCCTATGACATGGGCATCTAGGATAGAGTTACTTGAATGTATATTCGGTTCGACTCGTAAAAGTTTGAGATAAGTTCGTTTGTTTGCACAAACAAGTCAAGTTGAACAGCTAAACGAGCTCATTTGATGAATGAGCTTTCGCGAACATCTTGTTTTATACTTTTATTGAAGTTTCGAACAAATAAATCGAGATGAACGCATACACGAATGAGCACATAATGTTCGTAAACTGGTCGTTATAGATTTTGAATTGAAAGATTTGCTCTTTTAATAAATCCAGAATCTGTAGCGAGCTTTTGTGTTTGGCTCAATTTGTTCGTTTCGAACCTTGAATAAGACAACGAAACAAGAACTTTAACGAGTCGAGCTTATAGCTCGTTTACTAAACGAGTCAAGATGAACAATCAAATAATTCAATTCCAAAATAACATCCTAATATTAATGTGGCACTTGGAAAAGTTTTAGATTCCCCAAAACTGCAAATATTGAAACAATGGATACTGCTCCTCTACTCACGGTGGGCACATGTTAATATGTCCACTGTTTATGTGGCATGTACACATTGGTGATGTTAATATGTTCTAAAGAATACATCACCGATGAGTGCACTCCACATAAGTAATGGACATATTAACATGTGTCCACCGTAGATAAGTGAACATTACTGTCGAAACAATTGGGGGTTGGGGCAAAGTACCACGGAAAAAGTACGCCAACGATTTTTTCGTAATAAAAACCAAAACCAGGCGTAAAAAAGCAGCACCACACATTTTTATCTGCCTCAATTATTATTATTATTAAAAGCATAATGCGAACAAAAAAAAAAAGTAAATTTAAATGTAACTTTTGGCTCCGCACATAAATTACAAATGGAAATAAAAGATAAGAATAAGATATTTTCTACACTTAATCACTTAATCAATTAATTTATTTGTCTTTTTTTTTTAATCCAATAACAATAAAGATAATGTTTTTCTATTATTAGTTGGTTTATTTTTTATTAATTATTTTATTTAGAACAAAATGAGACCAAAAAAAAAAGCAGTGACAGAAAGATTACTTGAAGCAGAACACCAAAAAAAAAAAAATCTGTGCAATTCAGAGCCCTGTCCAGTTTGGGTGAATTTTTCCCTATTTAATTTATCTTCTTATATAGTCAAAAATAAAAGCTAAGAAATTGTTCCTTAATAATTCCACTACTTCAATAATTCCTAAAAAAAAAAAAAATGAAACTAAAATAAGCAAATCCCACTTCACAAAAATAAAAAATAAAAAATAAAAAATAAATAAATAAATATTAAAAAATATAAAAAGGTAAGAGAATATATATTTGAATTTACCAAATCAACAGTCTCATTCTTGATCTCTTCAAGGGTGAGGAGGCCCTTGTCACCACCCATGTTTGGTCCCACTTATTGCTATATATATTTTTCAATTTTATTTTTCTCCAATAAATGGGAAAATGGAAAATTTTGAAGAAGGGTGAAAAAGAAGAAGAAAGAAAGAAAGAAGCAATTTTAAGTGTGTGTGTGTGTGTGTGTGTTTTGGGGATGATGTTTTTTGATGGCTATACCCTCTCTTTTTATACCCTCTCCACAAATGATACCATATGATTTATCTTTGTAATAATAACACCCTTCCTCAAATGGCTCTTTTTTTCTCTTTTACTATGTATTAATTAATATAATATTCAAAAACTTTTATTTATGTCACACCTTGTTATTTGATAGTGAAGTTGTGAGTTGTTAACTGATTGTATTAGTTGTTTTAACCAACTAATTGTATTAGCAGTTTGATTTTCGTTAAAACTAACTATCACACTTTTCTTTCTCCATAATATAATTATTCCATTCAACAATAATGTAAAAAACATTAAAAAAAAAAAAACAAATAATGCTTTGTTTGGACTGGATATGCAAACGAGCCGAGTCGCGAGTCGAA